CATGAAGAGTTGTCACAACCCAAAACTTAGCCTATCATGATGGCACCTAACATGGTACCAGGCAAGCCGACACCCCAAAAGATTTCCAACACTTTTAAATAAAAAATAAACTAAAATAGGTTTTAAATAATTAAAGCTCTCATAAATTGAATAGAAGATCAAAACCCAATACAAAAGTTCCCAAAACCAGGGTGTCACTGAGTACATGAGCGTCTATACAATACAAGTCTAAAATACCATCCATGAAAGAAACCTCAAACTAAATAGATAAAGCTGAAAGATAGGGAAGGAGATTCAAGGTCTGCGGACGCCAGACAGCTACCTCAAAATCTCCGAATGATTAAGCTTCTAAGATAAATCAGCACCCACTGTGTCCGGAAATACCTGGTTCTGCACAGAAAGTGTAGGGTACAGCGTGAATACAACAAACTCAGTAAGTAACAAGACTAACTATTGGACTAAAAGTAGTGACAAGTTTGAGTAATACAATCCATATGGGTATTAACAGTACGGAAACTTACAACAAACATGACAGTAATATCTCATAAATTATAATCTACAAGTAAAGGTACAAGAATTTAGACATGCTTTTAGATTTGCAATAAACTCAACATACAATAGGGCATATCTAGTCCAAAATTCTAATAAACCAGGGCAGATCCAGCCTAAATGTAAATAACTGCTAACATTGCGTCCACTGTAGTTGTGCAGACTCCGAAGAAGCCGATCCAGCCCAAGCGTTATTATAAAGCAAACCTCGGCATGAATTAATAAAGCCTGTTGCAGCGTGCAGCCCGATCCCATAAATATCACTTACAATAGACCCTCAGTCTTACTAAGTCATTAATATCTCCAATCTCTTGGGTTCACCAGAATCATGATAATCAACCCAAACAATGAGGATACGGTGTATCAAATAAATGACTACATAGACTGAGACATATTATGCAAATAATAGGTGTGACTGAGTACAATTTGACAAACTAAGCAAATAATTCAACATGTAACCTAAAGAGGATTTCTAATATGATTGACAGCTCAATTTTTCTAACACATGGTGAAAATACTGGTAACAACAAGATTATTCAACTATACAGTTTCATGGAATTCGACCAAGTCACAATTCTTACGGTACACGCCCATATGCCCGTCACCTAGCATGTGCGCCAACTCAACACCAATCACATAACATATAATTCGAGATTTCATACCATCAGAACAAAATTTAGAAGTGTTACTTACCTTAAATTGTGCAAATCACTACTCCGACAAGCCCTTGCCTTGCGAAGTGGCCCCTAAATGCCTCGAATCTAGCCACAAATAGTTCGATACAAGCACCACGAGCTAAAGGAATCAATTCCATAAGAAAATACTAAGTTCTTAGTCAAACGTCAAAAAGTCAACTCAAAAGCGGGCCCCTGGGCCCACGTCTCGGAATTCAATAAAAGTCACAAAATCTTGAAGCTCACTCAACCGCGTGTCTAACCATACAAAATTTACCAAAATCTAACACCAAATCATCACTCAAATCCCCAATTTAAACTCTCCAAATCCCTAGCCTCAATTCCCAAAATTACACCTAAAAAACACACAAACTAGGTAGGGAATTCAATGGTGAAACAAAATTATTGAATAAAAACAACCACAAGTGACTTACCTCAAGAATCCCTTTGAAATCCCTCTCAAAAATCGCCTAAACCCGAGTTTGAAATGTCCAAAATGATGAAAATCACGGAACCCTCGATCTTAATATACTGACCAGCCTTTCTGCGGACCACTTAGCCGCACATGCGGTTCCACTTTTGCGGAATTTCCTCCGCTTCTGCGGATATGCCTTATAGGTCCTTCTTCGCTTATGTGACGCTTCCTTTGCATATGTGCTCTCGCAAGTGCAAAAACTCCATTGCACCTACACACAAACCCCCAGCTGGCCAACTCTGCTTCTGCGCCAAACACGCCGCACTTGCGATCACTACACTTTCCTCTCCATGCCTCACTTGTGCTTTACTGCTCGCACCTACGAGCTTGCACCTGCGATCAAAGCTCCATAGGTGCAATTGCACCAGAAAACTCCCAGCTTCATCAACCCTTTAACTCCAAACCTTGATCTGTTAACCACCCGAGGCTCCCATGACCTCAACCAAATATACCAACAAGTTCTAAAACACAATATGAACTTATTCGAGCCTTCAAATCACATCAAATAATGCTAATACCACAAATCGCGCCTCGATTCAAGTCTAATGAACTTATGAACTTCCAACTTCTATACTCGACACCGAAACCTATCAAATCAAGTCTGATCGACCTCAAATTTGACAAATAAGTCACAAATGACACAACAAATCTACTCCAACTCTCGGAACCTGAATCCGAACCTGGTAATCACGAAGTCAACTCTCAGTCAAACTTCTAAATTTCCAAAGATTCTAATTTTTCAACTTTCGCTATTTCAAGCCTAATTCAACTACAGGCCTCCAAATCACTATCTGGATACGCTCCTAAGTCCAAAATTATCCAACGGAGCTAATGGAACCCTCAAAACACCATTTTTGGAGCCATTTACACATAATTCACATCCGGCCAACCTTTTTAACTTATGCTTTTTACTTCAAGAAAATAGGCCTTAAGCGAGGGGAAATTTGGTCGTTAAAAGTCCAATTCCGGTCGTTATAAGCTGATAACGACCAGAAAAAATCCTGTCGTCACCGGTCGTTAAAAGCTCTGACGTTAAAAGTTAATGACCGGTTTTACAATCCAGTTGTTATAGGTTCTTTAACGACAACATAATTTTCGGCCGTTATATATACTTTTTAGCGACAGGATTTCCCCTCGCTAAACTGTTATTTGGTCGTTAAAAACTCTAATTACAACAACTAATTAAGTCAATTCAAGTGATTTTAGCGACCGATATTCCCTTCGTTGATTGTATAATTACTTTTAATAGCCATAATTCTCTTCGTTAATGGTCATTTATATATTTGAGAAACATGTCGTTAAAGAATTTTAATAACCACAGTTTTCTTCGCTAATATGAAAATGTATTAAATATAATTACTAAAATTTACATTACATGGAATAGTAATAATTCTTTATATACTTTCATACACGCTCAACAATATTAGAAAATAAACCAAATACTTGATATCTTGTTAGTAGAATGAACTAAAGTATCATATTTACAATAAACTAATCCAAATTGTAAGACATCATTTTTAATAATTCCTAAAAAGAGAAACAGTAAAATTGCAGCATATATATGTACATAAGATAATGTCTTTAAATTATCCCTCACAAACCAAAAAACCTCTTATACTTCAACTTGCTTTACACTTTTTTCAAGGATAGGTTCTTTGGACTTCAAATTTTTTATCTGTCAACGAAACACCAGATCCTTCAAAAGGAAGTACAATTTTAGGATATGTTTGTAGGAAAGAAGATGATAGTATAACTCTATTAGTCCATTTATGAGAACTTAACCCATAAACTGTAAGCTCGCCAGCACATTTTTCGGTTTAGCTATAATTATGTTGTATTTCTAAATTCTAATAATGTTGTATAAGTGCTGGTTGTATTATCATGTTTCAGATATTTTATAAGAGCATGTTCTATTCAATCTGTAGTGTATGCAGAGTAGAAAACTACACAACCAGCATAAAAATTTATGAAGGACAAGAGGTTTTTCCGGTTTGGACTCCAAATCAATGTGGAAAATTCTCTTGTAAATCTGCTAGGAGAACTTTAAGGAAGTTCAAATCAGTTACTCTCACGGCAGGGGTGTGCATTCGATTTATCGATTCGATTTTGACCCTTATCGATAATTACTTATCGATTATCGATTTGTACATATGCTTATCGTTATCGTTTCAATAAGGTTTCAATTTCGATTTATCGATTTTTTGGCCTTATCGATTCGGTTATCGATTACACCAATAAGAAAATTTGCATGATTCTACGGAAAGTATATTGCTATAAACACGTCTAACTAATATGGACAAAAAGAAGCTAAAATAAGACGAACACCGTTTATAACATAAAAATTGTGTTAACAAACACATGCAACGAAACTAAAGTAAGGAATTAAATGTATGCCACCAACACTCTAACGATATAAAAAAAAATAAAAATACATCATCACGGTTAATTCTATTTTCTATTAATTTGAACTTCATTCCCTTGAGCTTTAAATATGATCATTGCTTAAATGTGGCAGATTAAATAATATGGTTAGGGACTTAGGGTAAAGGAAAGGGTATTATAGAATAAGGTTAATTTTTCTTTTTGGAATATCTTATCAGTTTATCGATAAACCGATAACCGAAGAGGACAAAATCGAAATCGAAAACTCGATAAGGAAAATTTCGAAATCGAAATCGATAAATCGATAAACCGATATCGATAAACCGATAACAACTAATCGATTCGATTTATCGATAAATCGATTCGAATGCACACCCCTATCTCACAACAATGAAAAGCTAACATCCTAAACTCCCTTTAAAAGGTTCCTATTTTATGTAAGAATGCTAGCTTACAGATTACCTACTGATGATATTTTATGTAGGTTCAAAGTATTTGTGCCCTGTAGAAGCTATTGTTGCAGAATTCACCAAGCAACAGTGGTGTTGCTTTATGTCAAAGAAGATTACCACGTATAATTATATTTTTTGCCAAACTCATTGACTATCTGAAAATAAAACAGTGGTCAATTTCAGAAATGCTTGGAATGTAAAGTACCACTAACGGAAAACCAAAATGTAGAGGGAAAGATATACAGAAGAAGGAAAGAAAACGAAAAGGTTGAAGGATGTAAGGGAACACAGAAAATTTACAAAGGAAAATCACTTTTCATTCATCACATCTTTACAACGCTCACTCTTAACAGAATAAAAACAACATACGAAACAATTAAAAGCTTATATCTCCTCCTTCAATCTATGAGGCGGTGTTTGACTAAGTATGTAGTTTAACAAATAAATAATATTTTTTTAGGATTATGGTCTAAAACAAATCATTAAGATTTCTATGACTAGGATTCCAGCACTAAGACACAATTCAATAGATAAGGCATAGCATCTAAACTGGGGAATTTCCATCATACGGATCTAGACATGAAAAGACAGGGACTTTGCCTTTGCCAAAGGCAAAACCTAAGCATCGAATCCTCCCTAGAGAAATAGGAAAACACCCAAAATACAAGTGTGTAAATTGCTTTGAATAAACCTTAATGACATAAAGAAAAAATTCACATGAGCATTTCAATATTTTCATCATAGAGTAAAATATGATTTTCAATGTACTAACCCGTTATATGATTCAATCTATTGATCACTTGAAGAGAGCTCATCATATTTACTCTCTAGCACTTCCAAATGTCCTTTTAGTGATTCATTTTCTTTTACAGTAGCATTCAGTTTTTCCAATAATGCAGCTTTAGCGGAGTTACCACCTTTCAACTCCTTAGCGGTTATCCCACCACCAAATCCAACTACATGACTCTTTTGTTGAGGTCCGAAACACCTTTCTACAACCTCAATATTTGTAAGAGACAATTCAGATTGCACCAATTCTTTAATTTTATCCTGTAAAATAAAAAATTATTTAATTAAAATAACACAACACAATAAATAAATAATATAAATTGAAATCTATCAATAAACATACATATTTCTCGCTAGTTTTCGGTTCGACAAGCTTGTTGTTCTTCTTATGAGTCTCAAAAAAATAGTTGCCATATCTGGTGGATTACCATCTTTACCTCCATTCACATTACAATAAACAAGTCAAAGTAATTTTTGTAACAAAGATGAGGTTTCTTAATAGAATTATAAGATTTACTCACCAATTCATAAATGATCTCCCTAATCGGTTTACTACCCGTACGATGAGGCATACTCAACCTAGACTTATTGACCGAGTTTCTTGTACTTTGTCTCCTAAATTAACAATATACCAGCAAAATTCTGGTTAGCCACTTAATATAACATCATGTTAATAAATAGCTATGAAATCATACCTTAAATTTTTCAGTAAAAAAATGCTCTTTGACCGGCCATTCCCAATCACTCTTGTCTACCCCCTCTGGCACATATTTTATAGCATAACGGAATGGCTTAGACTTAACATTCTTGTGCATCGATCCTCTCCAATTGTTCCATAACTTTCTCATATGTTTCAAGACATGATCTCGTTGATCATTTATGTCATCACTGTCAAATTTGTCCTACAATAGTTAACAAGTATCATTAAGTATGAAATGACACTACAAGTTTCTTTACAAAGAAACTTGAAAAGAGTCCAATGTATTTCAACAAAGTCACATGCCAATTATCAGGAAAGCACGTTAAGACAAGACGAGGACCAAAAACAACTGATTGCTCTCTTCTGGCGGAAGGGTTCTCATGTAATTTCATTTTTCTGCACATGAAATCCACATTTGTACAGGGCCTAAGAGGAGATATGTTACTGGAGTAAAGGTTCTTTCCATTTCCTCCGAGGAAGAAGTTCTGAAACCTTGAAGTTAATGTTCGTTATCGAGTAAACATTCTACCTTTTAGAGTGGGTAATTTGCTTTGTATAGTTTGAAGATTTGCTTGTTCCTAGTTACATGTCCCTGTTTACAATGTAAATCCATTTATTCTTTAATATCTAGAGAACTGAATCTCAATAGTTTGTTGTGGAATATGGATAGTATTCAGAGGATGGATCAGAAATAGTTTAGTTGAACTAGTGTTGTCAGGCTACTCTTACTCTACTCAGAAATTACAGAAGCTTGTTCTGTGCTGAAGCAAATCAGTCCATGTTGAATTTTCAGCAATGCAAGTCAGTCAAAAATATTCTCCTAATTCCAAAATTTGAATTGATTGGTTTATATTTCATTGGTTAGGAAGCTATAAGCTTTTATGGAAAGATGATGGCATCGTTGGAGTAAGTCCCTTGAAAGACAAATGAAAAAGATGAACATTTAACTCATTTACGGACGTTTAAAAATCAGCAGAGGTATAAAAAGAAGAAGAAACTGAGTTAACATATTGTATTAACAAGTAGAAATGGAGAAGGCAAATCAAGAAAGTAATGCTTAAAATCTTCACCGTAACAGCTTCCCACATGTGTTGCAGCTTATATTCTTCGATATCTGCCCATGAGTGTACACGTAATGGGCACATATTACGATCACGGACTAATATACTCAAGTGTCTCGTAAATGAGGCATGATGCTGCCCAACAACCCTATTGTGGTAGAAAGTGGCGCAACTTTTCTCCAACTTTGAGTCCTGCAACTTTTTTACACCTATTCGTTCCTCTCACTTTTTTTACTTTTTCAGATTCACATGGCCCTGCAAATTGCCATTTAACTCAAATATAAAAATAGATCTTGTAAAATAACATCAAAAAGATCTTATAGCTTGAGATAATAAAAAGAGTATCACCTTCAAATATTTGATCAAAACCAGGAGGCGCAACATTTTCTCTAACTTTGAGTCCTGCAAAATTTTTACACCAATTCGTTCCTCTCAGTTATTTTACCTTTTCAGATTCATAAAGCCCTTCAAATTCCAATTTAACGCAAATATAAAAATAGATCTTTTACAATAAAACCAAAAAAATCTTATAGCTTGAGATAATAAAATACTTATTTCACTTCTCAGAGTATCATGCATCTCTTCTTCTTCGTGAGGTAAAAGATCAGTATCACCTTCAAATGGTTGATCAAAACCAGGAGGCACACCATTTTCTCCAACTTTGAGTCCTGCAACATTTTTACACCAATTCGTTCCTCTCAGTTATTTTACCTTTTCAGATTCACAAAGCCCGTCAAATTCATATTTAAGTCAAATATAAAAATAGTTCTTATACAATAACAACGAAAAAATCTTAGAGCTTGAGATAATAAAATACTTATTTTACTTCTCTGAGTGCCCTGCATCTCTTCTTCTTCGTGAGGAAAAAGAGTATCACCTTCAAATGGTTGATCAAAACCAGGAGGCACAACATTTTCTCCAACTTTGAGTTCTGCAACATTTTTATACCAATTCGCTCCTCTCAGTTATTTTACCTTTTCAGATTCACAAAGCCTTGTAAATTTCAATTTAAGTCAAATATAAAAATAGTTCTTATACAATAACAACGAAAAAATCTTATAGCTTGAGATAATAAAATACTTATTTCACTTCTCCGAGTGTCCTGCGTCTCTTCTTTTTCATGAGGAAAAAGAGTAACACCTTCAAATGGTTGATCAAAACCATAGGAGGCGCAACATTTTCTCCAACTTTGAGTCCTGCAATATTTTTACACCAATTCGTTCCTCTTAGTTTTTTTTACCTTCTCAGATTTACAAAGCCCTGAAAATTCTAATTTAACTCAAATATAAAAATAGTTCTTATACAATAACAAAGAAAAAATCTTATAGCTTGAGATAATAAAATACTTATTTCACTTCTTCGAGTGCCCTGCATCTCTTCTTCTCCATGAGGAAAAAGAGTATCACCTTCAAATGTTTGATCAAAACTAGGAGGCGCAACATTTTCTCCAGCTTTGAGTCCTGCAACATTTTTACACCAATTTGTTCCTCTCAGATTTTTTACCTTTTCAGATTCACAAAGCCCTGCAAATTCCAATTTAAGTCAAATATAAAAATAGTTCTTATACAATAATAACGAAATATCTTATAGCTTGAGATAATAAGATACTTATTTTACTTCTCTGAGTGCCCTGCATCTCTTCTTCTTCATGAGGAAAAAGAGTATCACCTTCAAATATTTGATCAAAACCAAAAGGTACAAGACTATCATTATGAGTTAGGTTATTCAGATTAGAAGCTAATACATTCAAAACTTTACTTTTGCTAATCAAACCTCGTTGTTCAGCATTTACTCTTGTAGAACCCATTGCTCTGAAGCTTTGTCCTCGCCCCCTTGCTAAGGTACCAGGTGGAACGTACACATGCTTAATACTCTTCGAACTTGATTCCATTTTAGACTTCTGATATTTTGATGGATTCATGTCAACCTAGCAAAAAAAGAAATTGAGTAATAGATGTCTATAATATTAGTATTATCATATATGAACATATGAAGGTCTTTGAAAGAAGCTAGGAAATTACATGGCCATAGACAACAGTAATAAAGATAATTTACAAAAACATGACGCACAAGAACCTGGAGATAAACAAATATTTAGCAAGTCATATTCATCATATAAGAACATATAATCAGTTAAGAGAAAATCCACTGGTATATTTTTAGAATCTTTTGCTGAACTTTTAAATCAAATGGAATCCAGTACGAAACTTCCCTCATCACAAGCGAATTTCCTAATTAAATAAAGGAGTTGATAAATATCCAAACCTTCATGAGTTCTTTTCCTTTTCAGTTGTGAAGAATGATCTAACTCCTCTAAATCATCAATACTTTCGTGCAAAACCTAAAAAGTATCACGAGGTTGAACTTTTCGTACAACATGCCAACCTTTATTGGAAAGATCGTCAACGTAAAAAACTTGCGAGGCTTGGTTAGCTAATACAAAAGGCTCGGTTGTTTTCAGAAATCGCTAGCGGTTAACACTTACAAAGCCATATTCATGTATTTTAACTCCCTTTTCTTGGTCATACACATCAAACCACGTACATCGAAATAAAACTATTCTTCCTTCACCAACAAATTGTATTCTAGTATATCTGTTAGTTCTCCATAGTAATCAATGTTCTTATTCTCCACATCTGTCTCTCCAACTACAACCACCCCGCAGTTCTGAGTTCTCAAACCTTTATCATAATCTTTCACTTGAAATCTATATCCATTAATAAGGTAGCCTCGATGACTTGTCACGTATGGCATGGGACCACGTGACAATGAGAGAAAATCTACCTTTTTTTTACTCTCATCACATTTGTATAATCCTGCAACCTATCAAGATCAAGCACATAGTTTAGCAAATAATATTTATATACTTGGTTTGAAAAATATGCATGTTAACTAGTATTTACCTTCTCTTTTAACCAACTAATCAATTGCCTATCAGAATTTTCTTGAGAGGTATCAACTGGAGTTAGTGAAAACTCTCTACAAATAATTAAAACATAATAATATGTCATTTTAATTAAAAAAAATAAAGAAGGTAAATAAAAGTAAATTATTGAAACAATTCATTACTTACTCAAGAAATGGTTGAATTTTATCACAATTCTACAAAATATAAATATATGCTTGCTCCAGTTCATTTGAATCAAGTTTGTGTGGTTTGCCACCTCTTAAAGCTCTTCCGGGTTGACAAAAAATTGTTAAACCTCCATCAGATTCTACAATACCACCATCATAATTTTGTTCAAGGCGATTAAACTTTGTTTCCATTGTATGTATATATCTTGAACATAAGGTCATACATTCAGTTGCTAAATATCCCTCTGCAATAGAACCTTCTGCGCAAACCCTATTACGAATAAATAGTTTCATAAAGTATATCTATCGCTCCATTGGATACATCCATCGATATTGAGAAGGTCCAGCAATCTTAGCTTCATTAGCTAAATGAATTGACAAGTGCTCCATGACATAAAAAAATGTAGGAGGAAAGACTTTTTCTAGCTTGCACTCAGTTATTGGGATTTGGGCATCTATCTGCTCTAATTCATCCACACTTAAACATTTCTATCCAAGCACGTTGAAAAACAAAGACAACTCAATAAGTGGTTCACACACAGATTTGCATAGCATTCCTCGTAGATCAAGGTGGAGTAAATGTTGTAGAACAACGTGGCAATCATGACTTTTTAAACCTGAAATTTTGCGATCTTTAAGGTTGACACACTGGGAAATATTTGATGAAAATCCATCTGGGACCTTTAAGTTCTTCAAGAAACTGAAAAAATTGTCCTTCTCTTCAGGAGCTAATGTGTAACATGCCGTTGGTAAGTCATATTTATCCCCAATTTTTATTGGATGCAATTCTTTCCTAATGTTCATTGCTTGCAAATCTAACCGAGTATTTATGGTGTCTTTGGTTTTCCCTTTGATATTTAAGATTGTCCCCAAAATATTATTACATATATTTTTCTCAATGTGCATTACATCTAAGTTATGTCACAATAAAAGAGTTCTCCAATATGGGAGATCAAATAAAATACTCTTCTTATTCCAATTATCACCCCTACTCTCATGTAATATTTTAATCTTCTTCTTTGGATCCTTTGTGTCACGACCCCAAACCGGACCCGGTTGTGATGACGCCTCTCGTGAAGATAAGGCCACCCGACGCAATTCTCAAATTCATTTTTAACAACTTAATAAGTCAATTAAGTAATTTATAAGAATAAATCCCCAACAAGTATAAATTTAGCAAAATAGAACAAGTGCGGAAATAAATACAGCCCGACATCGGGGTGTCACAAGTCACGAGCATCTACTAGGGTCTAAATACAACTAAAAATTCTGAAATGTACTAAATACAGACTAATGAAATAAAGGGGGAGAAAAGCAGTGCTGCAAACATCGGCAACTACCTTGCTAAACTCCGATGACTCTGCCTTCGATCAACCCATACCCGCTATCGGGTTCAGAAATACCTGAATCTGCACACAAGGTGCAGGGAGTAAATTGAGTACTCCGACTCAGTATAATAATAACTAAAGACTGAGTGATAAGAAATCACGAAAAGTGCATCAACATGCTCTATAGAAGTAGTACAAAACCAGTGAGAAAGCAATGAAGCTGTGAAATCTCTTAAAGCATCTTAGCTCAATTTAAACTTCTTTAAAAATGACTTTTTAATAGTTACGCAATTGAATGCAAAGCAATTAGTGTAGATAAGCACAGAAAATCCGCCCATCGGGCACAAATACACAATTAAACAGGTAAATGACAGGCAAATAAGAAAGATAACACATAAGGTTTGCCCTTCGGGCACAATGTCAACAAATCTGCCCCTCGGGCTATATCTCAGAACAATACCAGCCCCTCGGGCAATCACATAGAATAATACCAGCCCCTCAGGATATATCTCACATCATAATTGGTACCCGCGCTCACTGGGGGTGTGTAGGCTCCTGGAGGGGGTACGGCCCAAGCACAATATCAAGCCATCTCGTGGCATCATCTCTATGCTCTCGGCCTCATATCAACAAGCCACCTCGTGGTGTACATATCTCTAGCCCTCAGCCTCATAATCATATTCAGCGTATCACCGCTGCGGTGTGCAGCCCGACCTAAAAGTATCCTCACAACACAGGCCCTCGGTCTTACTTAGTCAAAAATTACATAAGCCGCTCGGGCAACAGTAAAACATGATGCTCAGCCCAAAATATAATTTGAAATATCATTTCAAGTGTTAAAGCAGAGTAAACATGGATGAGTTTTGAAAACAGTAGAATATAGCATGACTAAGTACAAGTTTAAAGTCAAAATAGTGAAGAAATATCAGTAAAAATCCCCGAAGGGTTCAAATAGTTGGCATTCAGCCCAAAACATGATGATAGCAGATAGTTTCCAATCAAATACGTAGTAAAACAGTCATTCGGGATGGACTAAGTCACAATTCCCAATAGTGCACGACCCCACACTCATCATCTAGCATGTGTGTCACCTCAATATAGCACAATGATGTGCAATCTAGGGTTTCATACCCTCAGAACATCATTTACAATCATTACTCACCTCGATCGGTCTAAACTCTCGCCCGCGATGCCTTTGACCGCATGAATCGACCTTTGGATGCTCCAAATCTAGCCACAATCAATACATAACCATTAAAATATGCTAAGGGAACAAATCCCACTCGAAAATATCTAATTTACATCAAAAAAACCCGAAATTGCTTAAACCCGACCCCCGAGACCATGTCTCGGAATCCGATAAAACATACATCAATAGAATCCTCGTCCTCTCACGAGTCTGTACATACCAAGAACATCAAAATCAGATGTCAATTGCCCCTTCAAATTCCCAATTTACACTCTCCAAAGTCAAGTCCTAATTTCCCAATTGTAGGCTTTAATTTTCACATGTTTCATGATTAAATAAGTAAGAATCAACATAGAATCGAGTATTGAGTTCACAAATCTTACCTCTAGGTGTTATATCTTGAATCCCTCTTCAAATCCTCTCAAAAAACTCCAAAATCGCCCAAAATGGTGAAAGATAGCCTCAAAATCACGGACAATGGCTATTTAAACATTATGCCCAGGCATCAAAAACCTTTTTCGTGAACGCGGTCAAAGCCTCACGTTCGCGAAGCACAATCCAGCTTTGACCAGAAATCCTTCTTCGCGAACGCGTCTTGCCACTCGCGAACGCGGTGCTTCCACAGACTAAACCTTCGCAATCGCGTAACCTCTCTTACAAATGCGATGAATAAACACCCTGAAGCTCAGTTGCCCAATTCCTTTTACGCGAACGTGGTCCACTTCACGCGAACGCGATGACCAATCACATAGCCCTTCGCGAACGCGGAGCCTGCCTCGGGAACGCGAAGGCTAACTTCCAGCCTTCACCAGCTAACCCTTCGCGAACGCGAGGGCCTACTCGCGAATGCGAAGGCCATTTTCTCTGCAACATTGATCAACAATTTCTGCAACTTTTCAAACATGAAATGGCCCGATGGACCACCCAAAACTCACTCGAGGCCCTCGGAACCTCAACTAAACATGCCAACATATCCCATAACATCATTCAAACTTGTTCCAACTTTCGGAATGCTCAAAACAACATTAAAACACCAAATTTGCATCGAATTCAAGCCTAAGAATTTTAAAATCTTCCGAATTACGCTTTTGATAAAAAAACCCAACCAATCCATGTCTGAATGAGCTGAAATTTTGCACACACGTCAAAAATCACACAACGGAGCTGCTACAATTCCAGAATTCCATTCCGACCTCTATATCAAAATCTCACCTATCAACCGGAAAACGTCAAAAATCTCAATTTCTCCAATTCAAGCCTAAACCTTCCACGGACTTGCAAAATTCATTCCGATCACGCTCCTATGTCCCATATCACCTAATGGAGCTA